CTTTGGAGAAATGTCTATTTAGGTCTTCTGCCCATTTTTGGATTGGGTTGTTTGTTTTTTTGTTATTAAGCTGCATGAGCTGCTTATAAATTTTGGAGATTAATCCTTTGTCAGTTGCTTCATTTGCAAATATTTTCTCCCATCCTGAGGGTTGTCTTTTGGTCTTGTTTATGGTTTCCTTTGCTGTGCAAAAGCTTTGAAGTTTCATTAGGTCCCATTTGTTTATTTTTGTTTTTATTTCCATTTCTCTAGGAGGTGGGTCAAAAAGGATCTTGCTGTGATTTATGTCATAAGGTGTTCTGCCTATGTTTTCCTCTTAAGAGTTTGATAGTTTCTGGCCTTACATTTAGGTCTTTAAGCCATTTTGAGCTTATTTTTGTGTATGGTGTTAGGGAGTGATCTAATCTCATACTTTTACAGGTACCTGTCCAGTTTTCCCAGCACCACTTATTGAAGAGGCTGTCCTTTCTCCACTGTACATTCCTGCCTCCTTTATCAAAGATAAGGTGACCATATGTGCGTGGGTTTATCTCTGAGCTTTCTATCCTGTTCCATTGATCTATCTTTCTGATTTTGTGCCAATACCATACTGTCTTGATTACTGTAGTTTTGTAGTATAGTCTGAAGTCAGGGAGGGAGCCTGATTCCTCCAGCTCCGTTTTTCGTTCTCAAGATTGCTTTGGCTATTCGGGGTCTTTTGTGTTTCCATACAAATTGTGAAATTTTTTGTTCTAGTTCTGTGAAAAATGCCAGTGGTAGTTCAAACTTATTCTTGATTGATATGGTCTTCAAAGAGTATAACTGGAGTTCCCTAGTGGTGCAGTGGTTGAGAGTCTGCCTGCTAATGCAGGGGACACAGGTTTGAGCCCTGGTCTGGGAGGATCCCACATGCCGCCGAGCGACTAGGCCCATGAGCCAAAACTACTGAGCCTGTGCGTCTGGAGCCCGTGCTCCACAACAAGAGAGGCCGCGACAGTGAGTGGCCTGCGCACCGCGATGAAGAGTGGCCCCCGCTTGCCGCAACTAGGGAAAGCCCTTGCACAGAAACGAAGACCCAACACAGCAAAATTAAATTAATTAATTAATAAACACCTACCCCCAGCATCTTCTTAAAAGAAAAAAAAAAGAGTATAACTGGGATACATAGGGAAAGCCCTATGGATATAGAAGATCCTTCTTTTTACTGAATTAAAGTTTAAGTTTTCTATACATAAATGTCAAAGCTGCTTTGAGGGGAATTGTTTCCTATCATTGGAAATACTGAAATATGGACTGAGCAACCTCTTGAAGGCAGTGCTGTAGAAATTGAAGGTGGTTGTGTGATATAATAAGAAATAGATATTTGGTCTTCAATTGTTCTGGCGCAGAGCTCCTAAAACCCTTGGAATTTCCTAAGTGCTGAGGGCAATAAAGGTGTCTAAGGATGGAGGCTCGTTGCTAGTAGAGCCAACCAAGTGATTAGAGGGTTGGAACTTCCATTCCCACCCCTCTGAAGTGGTCAGAGGGGCTGGAGGTTGAATCATTCACAGAAGGCAAATGATTTAATCATCATGCTTATGTTAATAAGCCTCCATAAAAACCCAAAAGGAGGGGGTTTGGATTGCTTCTGAGTCGGTGAACGTGGGGAGATAGGAGGAGAGTGGCATGCTCAGAGACCATGAAAGATTTAGACACTTTCCCTATGCCTTACCTTATGCATCTCTTCCATCTGGCTGTTCCTGAGTCTATATATATATAAAACTTGTAATATGTAGTAAGTAAAATGGTCATCTAGTAAGTAAAATGTTTCTCTGAGTTCTGTGAGCCCGCTTTGTGTGAATGGATTAATCAAGCTGAAAGCAACATCTGGTTGGTCAGAAGCAAGGATGGAAACCTGCATTATTTGCTACTGGTGTCTGAATGTGTGTGTGTGTGTGTGTGTGTGTGTGTGTGTGTGTGTGTGTGGTAGGAGCAGTCTTGTAGGACTGAGCCCTAATCTGTGGAATCTGACGCTATCTTTGTGTAAATAGTGTCAGAATTGAGCTGCATTTGTACAACACTCAGGTGGTGTCTGATAATTGCTTGGGGATACGGGGAACCCTCTGTGCCTCCACACTGGACTTGGTACTACAGCTGACTCTTGAACAACGTGGGTTTGAACTGCGTGGGTCCACTTATAGGTGGATTTATTTCAGTAAATACACATCCTTAGATTCAACCAAATGTGAATCAAAATTTCTATCCATGGTTGGTGAAATCTGCATATGCGAAACTTGTAGGTAAGGAGGGCTGACTATATTATGCCATTTTACATAGGGGACTTGAGCATCCGTGGATTTTTGTGTCTGCAGGGGCTCCTGGAACCAATCCCCTGAGGATACTGCGAAACGACTATAGAATCTTAGGTTGGAACAGAGAAGTTCGTGGTCCATTTGAGGTTAAAAATATTCAGAATTACAGCTCCTGAGGGTAACTGTTGCGCCTCACCTTTGTGCAGCTTGTATGGTTTATGAAGTGTTTTCTCCAGTGTTAACTTACTTGCTCTTCCGTGGATAGCAAAATGTTTATTCACTGTACCTTACATAGTGACTTCGCAGGTGCTAAGAAAAATTGGTTTGGAGAAACAAGCTAATTTTTTACCTGGATCCCATAGCTATTCTGATAGCTGAGTAGTGGTATCTCATTATGGTTTTCATTTTCATTTTCTTAATGGCTAGTGCTATTAAACATCATTTCATGTGCTTATTTGCGATTTGTATATCCTTTTCAATGAAGAATCTCTTCATATCTCTTGTCCATTTTCTAATCAAATTGCTTATTTTCTTACTGTTGAGTTTGAGCGTTCTTTATATGTTATAGACTTACTTCTTTGTTGGCTATGTAGTTTGTAAATATTTTCTCCCAGTCTCTAGCTTGACTTCTTATACTCTTAAAAGAATCTTTCACATAGCAAACGATGTTAGTTTTGATGACGTCTAGTTTACCTAGTTTTCCTTTTATGGTTCATCTCTTTCCTGGTTTATTGCAATAGGCCCACTGTTCTCTCTGATTCTGACCTTGCCTTCCAAATGTCTGTTCTTAACAAAGCAATTAGAGTGATCTTTTAAAATGTAATTTCTCATTTGAAACTCTCCAAGCTTCCCACGTCACTCAGAGTAAAAGCCAACGTTTTAGCAGTAGCCTATAAACCCTATATAATTTGGTTCCTCATTATCCCTCTGACTTCCCCTCTTACCACTCTCTCCCTCCCTCAGCCACGCTGGCTTTCTTCCTGGTATTCAAACACGCCAAGCAATCCCTGACCCAGACTCCAGTCTCTTTTTGCCTAAAAAATGTAACCTTGGCTCTAAGCTCCCTTATTGCCCTCAGGTACTACTGAGATGAGGCCCTTTTAGTGAAGCCTTCCATGATCTCCCATTCAGCATAGAAATTCCCCTATTTCCTATAGTCCCATATCCAGTTTCTTGTTTTATTTCTCATCACGGTACTTGCAAATATCTAACCTACTAGGTATTTTACTTATTTTAAAAAAATTGTCTATCTTCTCCTCTAGAATTAAGCTCCTTGAGAGAAAATCTTTGTATCTCTTTTGTTCTTAAATGTTCAGGTACGAATCTAGAGAGCCTGGCACATAGGAGGGGCTAAATAACTGTTTATATAATGAAGAATGGACAGAGAAATGAAGGAATGACCAAAGTATGTCCCAACCTAGCTGGGGCTTGCTGTGATGAATCCATTGCTTCTAGGTTGGACAACCTGAGCTGGTACGTTTGGAATCGTCTTTCCTTTTCTGAGCGGAGGTTCATTTCTTTCAGAAATTCAGGGTCTAAGAAAGATGCCTAAAGAATCGTCCTCCTTGGAATGATGGAATTAGAACTTCTAATGAAAGTTCAACTCCTAAGGAAGTGGTGATCATCAACGGTTGTTATGCTCTTTGTTGAAAGGTTGGTGAGGAGCATTGTGGTTCCTCATCATTATGGATGGAGGGACCAAGCTGACAGTACCTGACCTCACCGATCAACCTTAACTTCATTAAAAATCAGACAGGGCTTCCCTGGTGGCGCAGTGGTTGAGCGTCCGCCTGCTGATGCAGGGGACGCGGGTTCGTGCCCCGGTCTGGGAGGATCCCACGTGCCGTGGAGCGGCTGGGCCCGTGAGCCATGTGCTCCGCAGCGGGAGAGGCCACAACAGTGAGAGGCCCGCGTACCACAAAACAAACAAACAAACAAAAAAACGGACAACTTTTTGTACTTCCTGTTGCAATGCAATAGGAAGGTACACAGCATCACTTATAAAATAATCTTGTAGTAACATGAAATGGAATGTAAATCTAATTAATTCTCTAGCTTTAACTACCTGTTTATAAGAAAATAGAGGTAATAGGGAACATCTTAAATGACATCACAGGAATACAATCAACAGATTCCTATGGAAAATTCTAAAGGATAAATTACTTAGTTTCTTCAACAAATCAGTGCCAAAAAAAAAGGGAGGGAGGACTGTTGTAGACTAAAAGACACATTGACATATTGCAAGGTGTGGACCTTCTTTAGATCTTGATTTCAATAGATCATGTATAAAAAAAGACATTTAAACACATTTGGAGGAAATTGAGTATGGCTTAGTTATTGTGGTAAGAAAAAATGATAATTAAATTTGTTGGGTGAGATAATGATGTTATGTTAGAAACAAGTTTTTATCTGTTGGAGATAAATACTATGGCATGTAAGGAGAAATGACATAATGTCTGAGATTTGCAATAAAAAACAGCACTTGTCCCACCCTCCCCAAACTCCTAAACCAAAATAAATACACAAAAAACTAAAAGTGTGCGAGTGAGTGAGTGTGTTTGTGTGTGTGTGTGTAGCAGAACAAGAATGGCAGACTTTTGATAATTGTTGAAACTGGGTGATGGGTAAATGGTGCTGCACTCCTTTTATATCATTCTCTTTGTGTATGTTTGGAAATTTCTACCCCAAAAAATCTAAGAAGAAAAATCCTCCTTGCCCCATCTTTTCTAGGGATTCTCCAAGAAGCAGAAAGATTTAATCTCATCAGCAAACCCTCACAAGGCTGAAGTTGTCCTCTCTTCACTCTCCTGTTGCCTGAAACCCTAAGTCATTCTGCAGTGCCCTTTCAAATTGGGACCCGCCTCAGTCCATGTGGTATTTATAATGAAAGCAGTGACTCCTGGGAGTCTACCTCGTCCCGTGCACCAATACTCCCACTGGATCCTGGCCACTACCTCAAAATGAGGTGTCTCTAATTCTAGAGTGGAATCAGGAGGATCCAGATGCATTGCCACTTATAACTGGTATAAATTACAGCCCACAAGCAGAGGTGTGCAAGAAACAGTACAAAAAATTTTTTTATAATTCCACGTAATTTGTATTTTAAGCCTTGATCCTGCTGGTGTCCTGTTTGGATTTCCGCCATCCCTATTTGGAAGTCAGAGGGCCAAGCTTTTGAGGGAGTGAGTGGAAGCATGATCATTGTTGACTGGAGTCCACAGTTGTAAGTGTAGACGTCCATCAGCTCGGGGGCCATGCCTCCTTTAGGTTTGGTGGCTGCTGTGCCAGGCATGGGACAGGTTGCCATGATTCTGCTTGTATGCATACTATAGCCATCTCCTTTTAGAGTTTTTGCCCCATTTACCCCTCCAGCCACACTTGAGAGGCCTTTTCTCCTCCAGGATTTGCAGACATCTCTCTCTGACTTAATTAGCACATTTCAACACTCCAGTAGGGAAACAAGACAGTACCTAATTTCAAAAACCTGCTTCTGTTATGTTTCTGCTCAAGTATCCTCTCTTTTCCATGGAGTTTGCGATTTTAGAAATAAAAGCCAAGATCATCAGCATGCTATTTCTGCTATGCCCTGCCGGGCTCTTCCACTGGCCAGAGAACATAGGGTCTGCTACCCACCTGAATGCAGAAGGAAAAGGGTGAAATAAAGGAAGAAAAGAAAATAAACAGGAACAGATTAACATCTCAAAATATCCTGCCACATTGGAAAGATGTGAGAGTTGAATTCACGGGAAAGGTTCTACTGGGAAAAAGGAATTGTTCTTGAAAATGGGGTCTGTGCTGTTGCAGAGACTGTTGAACCTAGGTCCACAGAATGCTCTGAGGTCATCCTTGAGGTCAGAGAACTCTGCTGTGGCCGTGGCAACCTTTGAAACTTAGCAGCCCTGGTGAGCGCTAGGCAGTACTGCCGGTTCACTAAGTGGTCTAAGTTCTTCAGCCATTTAGGAGACTTGACTATTTTTATTTGTATTGAATCATTTCAACGGATTTCCCAAGAGCCAAGAAGGGCCAAGCTGTAGGGAAGAGGAGGAGTTGGAGGTGAGGCATCTTCTAAGGGAGACTTCTAGTTGGTACGATGAAACAGCGACAAAAGAGGAAACATCTGGAAAATGAAGAGTCCCAGGAAACTGCCGAGAAGGGAGGAGGTATGTGGGGGGGGGGCAACTTGTCTGGGGCACATGGGTTTCTGCCAAACTGAACCTTCTCTAGGAAGGGGGGGTTACTGAGAACGTGTCACCTGTGAAGCAGGGAGCGAGAGACCTTGTCTCACTGATGCTGCCGTATCCATCCGGAGGGTCCCTGTGGTGTGAGACGGCACAGAACGGGCCAGATGCCCCTGGGAGATGGGAGGTCAGCTCCGCCGGTCTGAGGACTCTCTCCTGGGGCTGCCGGGCCTGGAGCTTTGTCGGACGCACAGCAGGCTGCATCCTGTTTGCACAGACCTAGAGGTGCAGCTTTTCTCAGTCCCCGAGTTGTCTCCTATTCTCTTTGATCTTTCCCTGGGGTCATGAGGTGTGGGATGTGAAGGATGCAAGGATGCTGAGAGAGACCCATGAGTTGCTTGGCCCCTTTTACCAAAGTGGAAAGAGAAGCCCCATGAGTTGAAGGCCTTGTTGAAAAATACCTTGAGAAGTGGAATGCAGTTCAAAAGAAGATTGTTTGTCTAGGGATGGTGTCATATTGAAAGCAAGGAAGTTTTATTCCTTCAACAGGAAGAATTTCCCAAAGGAAATCAAGGGAAGGGAAGGGCTTTCCAGAGACTGAGACCACGTGGGCAGGGGTGAGAAATGTCCTCAGGGTCCTGCGGGGAGCTCTGAGAGCCACGGGCCACGTGGTGCCTGCGTGCATTAAATGTAGGCGAGTAGCTTGCCCTGGGAGAGGGGTGGTCATGTGAGGAAGTGGAGCCCACCCCAGAGTTCCAGCTAGAGGCCTCTGCCCCAGATTAGAGCCCAGTAGCTTCTACTGGGCCCAGGGCCCTGGAGACTGTAGGATGGGCCCTGGGAATGGAGGTCTAGACAGCAGGCAGATTTTCAGGCAGTGGCTGGGACAGGCTGGGGAAGGCAATGACTGCCCCTGTCCCCACCATTCAGAATATTTTTCTCTATGTTCCTGTGTGTGTGTGAGAGAGAGAGAGAGAGAGAGAGAGAGTGTGTGTGTGTGTGTGTGTGTGTGTGTGGTAGTGGAGAGAAGAGCGGGATGAATGGGGGTAGAGTGCTTATCAGATATAAAGTCTGCATGGTAAAGTTCTTGTCACCCTGCCTGGACCTGGGTGACACTCGGTGTATGTAAGAGTGTATACAGAATTATTGTTAGGGGTGTTTTATGAGACAGTAACTCATACACCCATGTACACTCTGATACAGCAAAAATATCACACACCCCACATACGACTTCCTTATTAAACCACACACAGCACATGTAGGTATATACACGCATCACTCCTGTACTACATTCTCATACAACCCACCTGTGTCACAATCCTCTCCTCCAACACCAAACGCTGGAGATGAGATATGTATATAGACACACACACTATATATATATGACACACACACTACATATATATATATGTATCTCCTCAACTCTCGCACAAACACAGCTAACTTCAGCTATCTCTAAATACCTCTATAAGAACCAGTCACATGTCATACACACCACACTTATAACACATTCTTGAGTAATGCCAGACCCGCTTTGTACAAACCACAGTAAACCACAGTCTCACTAACCCATGTCAGGATTGCCAGATAAAATATGGGCTATCCAGTTAACTTTGAATTCCAGATAAACAACAAGTAATTTTTCAGTAGGAGTATGTCCCAAATATTGTATGGGCCATACTTACACTAAAAATAAGTAAGACCAAATAGTGCATGGGAATACTTACACTAAAAAATTATTCTGGGTTTATCTGAAATTGAAATTTAACTGGCTGCCCTGTATTTTTGTTTGCTAAGTCTGGCAACCCTTATATACTTACCACCAGCTGATGTATTATATATTTATTGTATTTTTGTTTAGTGTTTGTCTTCCCCTACTAGAATGTGCAGCATTACCAGAGACTAGAACAATGGAAGAGTGCCGGATACATAGGAATAGCTGCTTACTGAATCTTGGTGAATGAAAGAATGAACACACACCATAAATACAAGCCACACCATGTAATGAGGAAAAGTTACATGTCCCAGAATTCCTGACTTGTGAACAGAAACCACGCACACAAAGGCCACAGACACAGATAGACACATCTGCACTGTGCTCCCCACGCCAACCCCACGCTTACCACAGACTTAACTGATACACATCACTCACTCTTCCCTCATACGCAGTCATCACTGAGGCCTACATTACCAACAAGACACTGACAGAATAAGTATTGATTTGAATTAAATACTGGAGTATCCACCGGGAACCACACTCTCAACTGTGTGTATTCGCTGCACCTGACACGTGTCAGACACTCAGTAAATATCTGTGGACAGAGGACTGATGAACCCACCCTGAGCCTTTCATTCCTCCCTCAGGAATCTTGAAGTCACAAGAGGATCCCCCTCCGCTTGGATCCACTGTGGTGGCCCAAGGCTGCAGCCCAGGGTCAGGGGAGGTCTCCTCTGCCTCTGAATACTTCTCCTATGCTTCTTCTCCACGCAAGCTCATCTGCAGTGGTAAGGGCGCGGGGCTCCTCAGGTGAGGGGGTGCTTGGCTGTGAGGCAGGAGGCACACAGATCCCAGGGAGGCTGAGAGGAAACCCAGGGTCATCGGAGGTGATGAGGGCTCTGTGGAGGAGCCTGGGCAGGATGGCTGAGCTGTTACGAGGGCAGGGATCCCAGCTGAGTCTGGGGGGCGTGTGAATCCTGGTACCACCATGGTGGGGAAGTCAAGGAGCAGGGGCCGGAAAGGTCTGGGCTTGAGGTGGAGGGCAGAGGGACCGGATTAAGCATCTTCAGGGGGAAATGTAGGGTTTGTCTTTGCCCTTGCTTCCAGAGAAGGACAGAGTTCTTCATCATAGACCTCCAGCCTGAGAGCAGGACCACCCAGCTGAGGTCCGCACAGCTCACACATACATCCGCCCTCCAGGCACAGCCCTTCTCAGTGCACACATAAACCCCAGGCACGTGATCCACAGTGCTCTTCTCCTGCACCACAGCCCCATTCCACAAGTAATGCACCACCGATATTCCCAAACTCACACTCCTTGTCGTACACGCATCCTTCCGCATCCCTCACATACCACAGCCCTCACCACCATACTCCACACCCCTGTATACAGACACCGCTCCAGTATACCCCCACGCGCAGATGAAAAGCCCACAGATGACACCAGATACACCACTCCATCCTACGGCCAACAGACACCAAGCTCATGACACAGCTATGTCATGCAAATGTCCCTCCCTCGTCTACCACACCTGCTCCCTCAGCTTCTGGCATGGCCCATGCATGTTATTATGTTTTTAATTTCCTTTTTCAGAAATCCAGAGATTACATCGAGACACTGCCCAGCCTAGAGCACCCCTAGCCCAGGTTCAGGAACAAGGGGAGACCACTCCCCCATCACAGTATGTCTCCTTCTCATCCTCTTCATCGTATGAGGACTCTCTGTATACAGACGAAGAGGAAAGGGGCATGAAAATATTCTACATGCGGGTACAAGTGAACAAGGGTGTAGCTGTCTCCTGGATGATAGAGAAACCCTTGGAGTTGCTAGAAAAGCAGCTGAGGAGAGAAGAAGTGACCCTTCCTGAGCATGTGTGGGTAGGCAATGCCATCTCTCATGTGTCCACCAGAAACCTGTCTGACAGTGAGCCCACTGGGGAGGAGAATGAGTGTGAGGAAAGGGCAGAGCCAGACAGCCCATCAGGGTCACCTGCAGTCAAGGAGACGCCCAGGGCCAAGACACCAGACTGGCTGGTGACCATGGAGATGGGCTTCAGGTGCATGGCCTGCTGCCGGGTCTTCCCCACCTTGGAGATCCTCCAGCAGCACGTGCAGTACAGTGTCCAGGACGGCTTCAGCTGCCATGTCTTTCATCTCGCCATGTCCCAGCTGACGGACAATGTGGAATCCGAGAGCACCTCTGAGGAGGAGAAAGAGGAGCAAGAAGAAAAGGAGAATGAGGGGCAGCAGCCCACGGGGGAAGACCTCTGCCCGAGGAGCCGGTGTCCAGTCTATGTGTTTCATTCTCCGAAGGACAGGAAGTGAGCAGGGGCTGGGGCTGCGGAGGGAGCTGTACCTTCCCTGAGCCAGTCCCGTCTCACCACCCCAGGCTCATGCTTCCATAAGGGAGAGTTGGGGGCTTTAGCACCTCAGGGGACAACTGAATGGGAGATAACCGGCTCCCGTGCTTCTGGCCCAGTCATTTAATAATAAAGTCATGACTGTAAGTGGGAATTTATCCTGAGCTTTTCAGCTCCCACAGGAAATTCTCTTTAGCTAAGAAGTGTTTTTCTCTCTTTTGATTTCCACACAGCAACTGAGATTCATGGGACAGAAGATCCCGGAAGACGGTGTGGCCTTCTCTTGGAAGAGGTAAGGCTGGAGGCTGGCACAGTCTCCTGAGCCTATGTCACGAGGGCCCAGAGGAGTCTAAGGGAAGGGGCTGCAGAGATGTGCTGGTTTACCTAATGGCTGTGCAGTTGCGTCGACTTGGGGACACACCCAGCACTTCCAAAGGAATTGACCTCTGTTGACTTAAACAAGAATGTGGAGCGTTTTGACTAGGAGTTTTCTCAGGGCCTGCACGGTGGACTTCAACACTAAGAGGATGTACTTCCAGCAGCTCCTTCTCGGCAGAGAGAGCCAGGAGTGGTCTGAAGAGAGGACAGGGCCCCTTGCAGGACCAGAACTTTGAGGTCTGAGAGCCTTTGGCCTGAGCTGAGATCTCACCCTGACCACTGTACCTAGCCTTCTGGGGCAAAGGGGAATGTGAAAGAGAGTCACGTGGAAATGAGGTCCCCCGAGATATGGAAATGTTCCAGAACCTTCGTTGTGTGGTAGTTGATCTGGAGCCAAGCTCACTGTGCTGTGTGTGGCTCTGAGCTCTAAGGCAACGCTGGAGGGTAACCCTGACCAGCAGAGCTTATACTGCTTCTTGTCTCTTCCTGTTCTACCTCATTTGTTTTCTCCATTCCAGGGAGAAGAAAGGACCCTCAGGATAGTAGCAGACAGAATGCCGTGGTCTGAAGGAGGATGAAGGGACCAGCACTCAGTCTCACATTAATATAATGTTATAAACATCATATGCAATAAAGGGCATTTTCCAAACCTTTCCTGGATGTTTTATTTAATTACATTTTTCTATCTATGCATCTATCTATCAGTCATCTACATCTGTATCTTTCAAGGTTTGTGAACAAGCTTTCGCATAAGCACTAGAGACGTCCGCCAGCATTTTCCAGAAGGAGGCCTGGAAATTGCTGGGGACTTCTCACACGTAGGGAATGGCCACAACCCTTGCCACACAGACTGTGTGCGTGGCCCTCCTGACTTACTCCCACTCTCTCTCTGAATTTCCTGAGATCTGAGATGGGGGTGCTGGCTGGAGGTAATGGTCACGTGCAGGCTGAATCTTCTCCAGATTCTGATTGTCTTCCTGGGCATATCGTCCTCAAGCACAGTTTCTATGTCCCTGGCCACGCTGATCTCTCTCCTTCAGTCCTTCCCTCCCTCCCTCTCCTGCCTCCCAGTGCAGAGAATACTTTTTACATTTGAAATGAGATTTATTTTTTGTTCACAGAATTCTCACCTGTTCTACTGTGGCCTCCGTTTTTAACATTCCAAAGCTGAGAATTTTCTTTTTTTCTCCCTCATTTCTGCTGAGTCTTTACCTTCCTAATGCAGTGAACTCAGAGTGCCTAGCTGACCGGATGGGGAAAAAATCCACGGAGCAAAGAGAAATAATAAAAAATATATCAGTTAATTTTTCATAGTGTTATCCAACTATATATTTTTAAAATTTAGGAATAATATTAGGAATATTCTCTTTATAAAAAACTGAATTATTGGGCTTCCCTGATGGCGCAGTGGTTAAGAATCTGCCTGCAAATGGAGGGGACATGGCTTCGAGCCCTGGTGTGGGAAGATCCCACATGCCACGGAGTAACTAAGCCCGCGCGCCACAACTACTGAGCCTGCGCTACAGAGCCCGTGTGCCACAACTACTGAGCCCACGTGCCACAACTACTGAAGCCTGTGCGCCTAGAGCCCGTGCTCCGCAGCAAGAGAAGCCACTGCAATGAGAAGCCCGTGCACCACAGCTAAGAGTAGCCCCCGCTCACTGCAACTAGAGAATGCCCGCTGGCAGCAACAAAGACCCAATGCAGCCCCAAATAAATTAATTTAAAAAAACTGAATTATTTTAAAGGGTACAATGTATAAAAGTACAATAAAAGTCCCCCTTCATAACCCCCCAACCCCACTCTCAAGACTACTTCCTTTTGTAGAGATTATTGATCACTAGCTGTCTGATTTCAAGACTTTTGGTCCATGAATTTACATATGTAGGTGCTTTATATGTGATTTATAGCTTTATAGAGATTTTTTATTTATAAATTATATCATACCATATCTATTCTAAAATTAACATTTTGATTGGAGATCTTTTAATGTCTTTTATATAGAGATTTAATATTAATATTTTAAATAGTCTCCAATGGATTATTGACCTTTTAAACTCTGTACTTCAGTTTTCCCTCAATACCTGTAATTTTGTCATGGCTATTTCTGTACTTAAAGATGAGTAACTATATGATTGATTTCTTCATTTTTTTTCCATCTCTTTCCAAGGTACTGAAGTTGATTGTGTCTTATGAATTAGTGAAAAATGCTAGTCCTTCAGTCAGGACATTGGGCCCTTTACCAAGTAACTCAACCTTCCTGGGCTTCAGCTTCTGTATGTGTGATCAAGAGGCTTGGACTAGCTGACTTTTCAAATGCTGTGTTTCTTTGATTCACTCTCACTTACTGATCTGCTACTTAAGAAGAGGGTCTGTTCTCATAAAGTAAGAATGGTCTTTTTTTAATCCTTGGGTTGGGCAGAGTTTAACTGGTCATACTCAGTTTGTTAGTTCTATTTACTTTTACATATGCTTAGCTCTAAATTTATATAGCTCTTGTAACTATTTTTAGATCTTATTTTTTTCTTATTTTCTTTTACAGTTTCTAATTTGTTATCACCAGTGTAGAGGAGCCTGATTGGTTTTTAAAATTTATTGATCTTGTATCTGTCTGCCTTGTTGAACCGTCTTATTAGTTCCTACTAGTTTATCTGTGGGTTCTTTTGGGTTTCCTAGATAAATGAGCAAATTAAATGTAAATAATGTGTTCTTCGGATAAAGTTTATTTTCTTGCATCTATATATATATATATACAAGCAATATGTTGAATTGCTTTAAATATTTAAATACTTACATACCTGTTATCATAATCTAACATTCTTTATCTTATTTTCTTTCAATCAATATTATGTTTTCAAGATTTATCCACGTCAATCCATATAGATCTAGGTCTTTTATTTTTGACTGTTTGATATTATTTCGTCACATGCGTATAGCATCATTTATTTTCCATTCAAGCATTATTGGACAATTGGATTGTTTCCCTCCCTTCTCTAGAACAAACAATGTTTCCTAGAATCTCCCTGAAGATGTTTGACAGTCGAGAAGGGCCAGGCTGCCCGAAGGATTCCTACTTGCTTTTAGCCACCTTCCGACAGGCCATCTCCAGCCAGCAATTTGAAGCACAGATGAAATGAAAACTCCCCCAAATGTGGAGATCTTAGGAGCTTCCTAGAAGGTGGGAGGTTAATGATAGGCATCCTGCTGGGATCCCAGGGGAGTCTGAGCTGGCCTGAACCTCTTCCTCCTCCTCCATCTCTCAAGAGAAATGTGGAGGAAAGACTTCAAAAACCGTGAGTAGGCAGAGGGAGAGATATTGGGGGCCGAAGCTGTAACTGAGGTCTTTGAGTGGGCTGTGAGGACGCAGAGCCTCTAGAGAGCCAGGCTCTGCCTTCTGAGAACTTCTCCCCTAAGGATGCTCATGATGAAGGTGATACCAGGCATATACAGCCAACTTGGTCCACACTGTCACAGAAAGCCTTATCAGAATCTCTTCTTGTTCATACACTCTTGTGTCTGTTACTTGGTTATTGCCTTTGGTACTCCACTGATGTGAACCACAGTCGCTAGGGGATGGAGGACACTAGTGACCCATCTTGCTCTGTGGCATTAGTCCACAGCTTGAGGGTAAGGGAGGAGGCCAAATGAAGCTCAAGAAGGAAAGATGGAGTTTGAAGAGAAGACCTGAGTTAAGGGTGTCTTCTCAAGTCTTGATGAATGAAACGTAGCTCCAGTACCTGAAGTCCTGCTTGTTCTCAAGTCTGACCACGGGGCTGGGTGCACTCAGTGAAGGAACCGTATACACTTAGTATTTCATTGCTTGCTCACACTTGCCCTCCTCTGATACACACTGCAAGACTGATATTCCCCTGAAACAACGTTCCACCTGCTACTGTCATCTCATGAACATTTGCTTCCCCTTCCTAGTGTCCCCCTAGAATCCCATTGCAGGAAATTAATAATTTGATAATCATGCTTCTTACCATATTCTCAGCAACTTCTGATAAATTTTATTCACTTTATTCCATAGTCCTCACACATCAATAATCTTCCTTAACTTCCTAGCTGCAGGTTAACCCATTCAGAATAATTTCTTTTTCTTTCTCCTCTTTGGCAAATCCTTTCTATCTTTTAAGGTCCTTTTCTTGTCTCTCTACCATCCTGCCTTCCTGAACTTGTTTTTCTGTTTAAGTAACCTTTCAATCTCCTTCCCCAATTTCCTCATAAGCATTTAGAGTTTATTCCTCACAAGTTAGACAGCGGTTTATGAATGGCCAGGCATAATGAACTCAGAATGAGTTGGTACCCCCGAGGTACCTGTCTTGCTGGGGAACCACAGGTGAAGGGCTGGCTGCTGGACATATGTTTGCATGGAGTCAGGCTGAGTGGCCTCAGGGTGTTTGCTCTGCACTTATGTGTGTTTCTCCCTAGTTGGTTTCCTTGTCCAGCCACCTCTGACCTCCCTCCATCCAGCCCAAGGAATCCTTCTCATCACAGGGGTAGGATGTTTGTCTCATTTTCCATCACATCCTTTCCAAAAGTTTGGTTGTGAGTTGTTCCCATTCCAAAGACCTTTCCTCTTTTAAGAGAAAAGAGAAAATCTTTTCTCTCCTTTTCTCTCACTTCACTTCTGCTCTATTATCTCCTCCGTTCAGAATGGCCCACTGACTCAAATGGGTGTAGATCTGAAGATGACAAGAAATGCCAGCAATTCTGAAATAATAATACAGATGTATCAGGAAAACTTGAAAACCTTTATCCCGCCACATTAAAAAAAATTGCACTTCCAGTGTGTTAAACGTCTCAGTGTAGAAACACAAATGATATAGAAATTGAATTACACTCAATCTTTTCTTCTTTCCTGATTTATTCTAATCCTCAAAGTTAAGATGATTGACTATTTGTTATGTAAACTTTCAGACATTTTCTACACATACACACTTCTCTTTTTTTCACATAAGAGTGTGAACTAGGTCACTTTCAACATGCTGTGATTCTGTGATTCACTCTCTCCCACCGATCATCCACTGATAAAGTAATCTTTTTCATGGAGAAATATTTCCAATAGCTAATAGCCAATGTCTGTGGAGTGCTTACTCTGTGTTGGTTTCTTCTATTTTACAGATAATTTGTACAATATACCCATGGACTAGGTACAATTATAACCCCCAAGTGACAGATAAGTGCAGATAAGTACAAATAAATACAGAGGCCAAGTGACTTGCCCAAGACACTGGAGCAAATCAAAATCCATGCCTCTGTAATCATTTTGCTCTATTGCCTCTGTCTGGAAGGCTTGATGATTTTGCAACTAAAACCTTAAATATCATGTTACATTTTTATATCTCTGACACAAGCGTGGGGTTGTGATATGGGGTAACTAACCTGACTACTTTTGAAAACCCTTATGCACCTGGATGAAAGTAAGCCAGGGACTGCAAGCTATAGATTTAAGATTTCCTACCAACTTTTAAAAATACCTTCTTGAATGCAATTTATGTAATGTCAAGTCTAGGATGTAGTCCAAATAGTAACAGAAAAATGGAGATATGTAGAAAAATACTTAAAGTTGACAAGTATTGGGAGTGTAGTATTTTTGGGGCCAACGTGTAGACCACAGGAAAACTTGCTGCTTCCATCCCAAAGG